CTAAAAGAAGATCTCATTTGCTTTTTCACAAAGTTAAAGAAAAAGTGAAGTCGTCTGGTAGAAGTTTATGCACAGTAGGTAGAAATAATGTAAACCAGTTATTTCTTTTCGGGACAGCTGAAAAAGGAAAACGTTAACAATGTTTGGTTCACCGTTCCCCATAAAATAGCGTTTCAAAAGCTCCTCTTCTATATAACATAACTTATCAAATAAGTTCCAAAATAAGCTTTAGAACTTAAAAACAATAACTCTATCATGATATGGTGGTTGTTGTGACAGTCGGAGCCCGAGTTCAGACCACCCATGTCAGAAGTTGTTGAAGCGTTGGTTCGGTTGGTGCAACGAGCAAACATGAGCAGGAAGACATCACTCAAAACGGCTGCAGATGACGAATAATAATAATAATAATCAAACAGATCAGATCACACGGAGTTTGTCAGTTAGAGCCTTTGAGTATTACAGTTCAGGTGGTGAAAGGTTTCTCCTCTGCACAATCTATGAGCTGTTTATGTATAGCGTGCATTTATTCATTGTTTATGTTCTTTTTTCGGGCTGGTCAAATAATTTGGAAGGAAATGTATTTGTGAAAGAAGTATATAGAAGAAAGAAAAATAAAATGATATACGCACAACAATTTTTATTGTGTACATGTTGATGACAACTTGGTTTTGATGTTTGTTTATCCTCTATCAATTCATTTTTTGGTACATATTGTGATCAAAATCTGGTTATATGCATGCATGACCACGATTCTTTTGACACCAGTTCTAGATGTCATCTGATGACTCTGAGGTCCTAGGGTACTACGTAAGATGACTCTGACTCTGAGGTGCCATCTTAGGTACGAGTTGAATGAAACATCTTAAGCCACAAGTATTGGGGAGTGTGTCAAAATATATTTAAAAATTAGTCACTAGTATTTGTCCACTCCCCTTGAGAAATACTTGAGTCACAAACACGAAGGTCACAAGATATATAAATTTTATACGCCAAAATAGAACAAATATTTTAAGATGGAGGAAATATTTAAAAACTACTCCCTCCGTCTCGTTTTAAATCGCTCGTTTTGACTTTTGGACATATTTAAGGAAAATTAAAAATGGAGTTGATTTTTTGAAATTGTTAATACTTTTTAGGAGGAATGATGATGAATGAAAATATAATGTGGAAAAGATTGACTTATTTTAGAGGCAGTTTAGGTATTTTATTTTTAAAAGTTTACTAAAACAACTAACAGACAACTTATTTTGGGACGGAGAAAAAAGGCAAACAAGCAATTTAAAATGGGACGGAGGTAGTACTTTGGGGTTGATAAAAAGTTGTGCCACTACAAAACAAAAGGTGATATAATTGTACTATACTTTTTATTACGTAATGAATAGTGAAAATCGCAGTTTTTAGAATTGAACAAGTGACTAAAGCAGTAGTTTAGACACATTTAAAATTTTCTATTCATCTATTTAGTGTGATTCACAGTCAATTTAATTTATTTGATTAATGGAATTAGATTTTAAAATACAATGTACTTATTAAAAAGCACATAATATTTTTACAAAATAAGATATTTCTTTATTTGTTCATATATTTTGTCCAATATTTTCAAAAATATTCAAATGTATTATTAAGCATTTGAATTCTAGTTACAACATTGTATTTTTTTGAAGTTAAAAAAAAAGAAACCTTGTCATAAATAATGCGGAGTATACAACTTTGAACAAACTACTACTCCCTCCGTCCGGGAATGATAGTCCCATTGTACGTTTTTCTCTGTCCGGAAATGATGTTCCCATTGTACGCTTTTTCCTCTATTCTCCCTAAAATACCCCTCTCATCCCACATTCACTCCTCCTATCTACCCAACCCGCCCACCTCCCCAATTAAACTCTCTCGCCCCTCTTTAGATCTAATCTACTCTCTCTCTGTCGGTGATCATTTTGTATGAATCTGTTAAATGTGTACTGTGATGAGCCATTTGCATATCTGGAAATGGATCTGAGTACCAATGGATGTGCCCTGAGAATAAAGTGTGTGCTAATTGCAATGTGTAAATGCCTTGCCCAATGTCTATGAAGACTGCTACTAGCATTGTCTGAGACCAAAAGTACTATGATGATGTGGGATATGCCTCTGAGTACTAAAGTCAGCACTGATGATGTGGGATATGTTTTTGAAACTGATATGTTGGCTGTTGTTTATATGTGAACAAAATTACATTTAGAGTAGATTGTGTGTAGTTACCTTGATGTGAGTACATATATAGCAGTGTATAAGCAGGTGCAAAAAC